GTTAGATTATCAGTATGCGGAACAGAATTTTGCTTCATGCGTTAATCAAATCAACATCCATCTGAAGATATAAGAAAATCAAATTTTCGAGACACATTTACCCTGAAGAGAATGTGTAAACTAGTAAGATGGTTCACAGTGAATCCGTGTTGAAGAAGAAACATGGAGTAACAAACCCCACATTTAATGTATTGCAAATGCCAACATGCCTCAATTGACATGTGATGGTGTATGTGTTTTCAGTAGACGTTAGCGTAATAATCCCTATGGGTAGACTAAAAAAAGTTTTTTTGTTATATTGCTAAGGGTGATAAAAGCTGTAGTAATGATGAGTAGTATGCCTTTAAGCTAACTCGTTAATGTTGTTCTGGTGAGACACTTAGACGTATTTATGAAATTGAAGGCGAAAATCATATGCAGTATGTCACTATACTCTGAGAAGTCCACACTGCATCAAAACTACTCTATCACTATTATGACAATTCAGGGATTATCTAAAACCAGAAGCTATCGAATAGTCTTGCTGTCTCACTATTCTCACTTCCAAACAACTATCACATCAAGTCAACACTGACTTCAAATCTTTGATGTTCAAATGTGAAAACATCCTGTCTTCAATTGTTTATTCTTTCGTGGTGAGCATCAGAATGTAACATGCAAGTGTATGAGGCGGAGAACTCGAAATGATGTGCATGGGAGTCAGCTTTATTTGACATCTATAAAACTACATACTAGTGGTCAGCTGTGGTGGGTAATTGTATACCACTCATGTCAGCCAGTCATGCTCGCTCGTCAGATCGAAGTGATCTACGCGCCAGAAGACATTTTCACTCTCTTAATCCCGAGCTCAACAGTGGTGTACCTAGTGTAACTCAAATCATGCAGTCGAATTAGTCCAAACTACCAGATCCCTGGCTAGGTACTTGGGCGAACTCGTAGTACCATAAATCAAACCTTCATTTCTCAACGGCGTTGCGGGTGTTTAGATCACTCCCATTTGGGTAGCAAGCAACACTGTTTGGTGTGAGTAGTGTACAACTATTTATCTCAGTCAGTCAATTACTCAGTGGTACACAGTTTTACTTCCAACGGTAGATCTTTGATTAATAATTAGTGATTGGTTGTTGGAGGCATTCGGCATTCAGGACTCGCAATCGTTACCACCACTGTCTTCGTGGTTGCCAATAGGACGTGTTGACGAATGGCTTGAATGGAGAAATCAAAGTCACAACCACCTCTTATTAGTGAGAAATGCACAATAGTTCAGAACATCTCAACTCAGTATTTACATCAATGACTAGATGAATAATACTTGGTTGGGTTTACGAGTTAGAGAAAATAACACTGACAACCAACCTTTTGTGTGCTTATTTATATTTAAGAATAAAACTTCTAGACTCCGGTGGTTCATTGATGGAATGTTCCGTAACCACGCATTGAGGCCAGGATCGATACACATCCGACACACTACCTAACAATATTACGGTTACTGAAACTTCAAGAGTCAGACCTGAAGTCATATATTCCACTCGGAAGGCAAGGAGATCAAGAAGGATGTCCAAAAACTGTTGGTCACACATAAATGATACCTTTTGTGAATACGGCTCCCTGACCATTGTAACACGGTATTTCATACAGATTTCTGTGTAGACGAAACACGATTCACAACATTTGTGATTCACCACTTTATTTTTGAGACGCTCTTATGAGACAGACTTTGTGAAGGTGAAATGCACCGTGTAAATATCTTCATCATTAATACCAACTGCCAATACTTGCAAACAATTCGAAGCATAGAAGACAAAACATCCGATGACGATAATAAACCAAAAACAAAAGTGCAAACAGTGTCATTGATGATAAAGTACAAAATTAGAAGTGATTAGCAGTAGTGAAATAATCATACACACATTTTGATAAGGTTTAAAGGTTCAGATGATGGTGGGAGATGGATGTGTTCTATCTGCTGTGATAAAGTTTGACCAGCGTATTTGTTGAAGATGAACAAGTTTTTCTATCAGATAACACCAGGCATATTTCATTTGCAAGCATAAATACTCTACTCCAAGTGGTGCCACTTTTGCATGCCACTGTTTCTTTTAACCTAGGTCACTGAACGAACTCTGAGAAACGTATTGTTTTGACATAGTTTGTGTTTTTCATGAAATGAATCGCGTTTTTATGGATTGAGGCTGAAACAGTTTTAGTATATAAAGGAGTAGACGAAATGATAGTTATCCATACAGCAATACTTGAGTATTGTATTACCATTAGCATTACCCATTACGAAGATGGCGCTCTGTCCAAAGAATACTCTATTTTCGCTATGCATCATCGGTGCTCTGGCTGTGGTCGTGCAATGTGAATATGTCTGTCAGATTATGCCGAATATAACTATGGTAAGAGCGTAGTTCTTTGTTGAAGGGCAACTCACATATTCTTCAGAACTTTGGTGTTTTAGGCAAAGCAGTCGAAAAACGTCAAAGTGGTGGCAATGGACTGAAATTCATCATCCTATACACCGCAAGTATGCAGAGACATCCACTATTTGGTCGATTCAAGGTAACGTTGATTGGTCACATCTGTAAAATTGCTTGTCTCTTTTGTAGTTGCTCAGATTTTTATGCTTTATATTTTCCTCATATATATTTCTTGAATTATATTTTACCTTTTTTCGGTCAAAATAGGCGGAGATTTTGTTTTGTGAATACGTGGAAAGTCAATCAATATTTGTCGACAATTTGTTTGCCTTAGCTGAGTAGGATTCACGTTTTCTCCACGGAAGATTCTCTTAATCGTCTTCATTTTCTTAGGCAGATTTTGGTGTATAACTCTGATTTCACGATGGCGCATAATTGTATTTATTGACAGCTCCTTTTTCGTCATTCTACTTCCTTGGATTTAGCTGCAAATATTCTATGGTTAATTACTTACTTTCATTTTTTTTATGTCACATATGAACTGAAGCTTTCAGCTTTGTATTTTCGGTAGCACTAGTGTTATTCTGATTCACGTGGTGTGGTTGCTAGCTTGACGTCATCAGTAAGGCGAGATTTGGAAGTGCCTCTGTCGAGGAATAAACTCTGAATCACGTACCTGGTTGACGAGCATTCTATCACTGAAACACGATCGCGTTCGCGAATTTATATCCCTCAATTTTCAAAGTACGTTAGCCAGATCTCCATAACTTGACAAATTCACGACTGACAATCACTGATATTCTCTGGTGCAAAAGGCAGTTGTAAGGATAATGAACTCGAGGCAGTGCAAATGTCTACTTCAGAATTCCACCTCATATTTCTTCAAGCATAATTAAATTAGCTATTTCGAGGGTGAGAACACCTTTCACTTCTAGCTGAGATGATTGATAGAAATATATTATGGTGTTGTGAGAATTTGTTGCCTCACCTGAGTAACATTTCTGTGAAGCCGTCATTCTCTTTCTAGGCAACATATTCAGCGAGGACTTCAATATGAAGTGAAATTCTAGAACTCTCCGTGAGTGGAAGGACTCTATGCGCTAATGGAATGCAGTAGATGAAACAACAATGTGAGACAATCTTATATTTGTGTTTGTGTTATTAAAAATAACAGAGTGGTAAAATGAACTCTTAGCCAAGCAACAACATCTGACACAATGCTTTCACTTTCAGAAATAATTGATATTCAACCCACGGATCATCGCTTCCCACCTCTCGGTTTTCTGTTTATCCATAAAACCGATTACGTAGTTTCATCCGAAATGCTTTCATCAACCCTCTCATCAAAATTACTCTTCTGATTAAGATTCAAAAAGCAGTGTACGTGTTGGAACCTCAGAAAATGTGCCTCCCTAAACAATCTGTTGCCTCTCTAACCGACGAAAACGCGATGAACAATGATGACGATGAGATTTAACAAAATACTTTCGTTTCTATAATGCACCTGTCTGTTTTATCTTGTAGACTGAAATAGTGGAGAAGGCGCTTAATTTCTGGTCGAGATCACTGAGTGTACGGAAACCACCAAACAGAAAACTCCTGATTCAGAGGTACACACACAATGACTTTGTATTCTGATATTTTAGAATGGATTTTTTAACTACGCATTCAGTTCTCCAATTTTCCCGTTTTGTTTTCGATTTACATTACAGAATATAAAGTATAATTTTGTTCATGAAGAGTCATGAGTTATAAAAGCATTGGAAACCAGAGAGTAGTGAGTGGCTGTTTACCCCTTTTCTTCTGGAACTATTCAACTCTACTTGCACAAGGATCGGCGGGCTATCCATCCCAGGAGCTTCAATCTATGAGACGAACTGGTATGCCATTCAGCCGATAGCTCACGGATTCTCACTTCTGAGGATTCTCTTCATGGTAGGACAGCCAGCCAATGTCACTTTTAGTTATTTGCTTCCTAATTGAGGTAAATGCAGTAGGTGATTTTGACTCATCATCTGCTCACCAGTGTTCCCCTCTGAGATTGGAACCAAGTTCAAGTCTCTCGAAACGCCTAATAGTTATCCACTGAGTCACAGGATTGTGAAGAACACTCTTTTGTGCAACTGGTGTTAATTAAAATTATCCATTGATTTCTATTTCTTTCCGATGATATAGCTTACCACACTGGTCAGCTTCATCTTGATAAAAGGGCTACTCGGATAGACAGACAGACAGGTTATTATTAGTGTTAAGAACTTGAATTTATTTGTTTGTAGGATCTGGGATACAGGTATCATCCTCTTTGGAAGCTGATCAATGTGTTTAGCTATGCCAATGGCATACCATACACACACGCACATGAAGAAACATTTCTCACTGACCTCACACATTGTATACTTACATTGGAAATTATCAAAAGAACATTTCAACTTCGTCTCTATTTAATGTAAACTTTATTCCTGGAATCATAAATGTATCTACTATCATTGCTTTTAATAGAGGATGTGTCGAACCATATATCTACACTGAACCACAGTCAGGCAGAAAGTTTTGCAAAGAGGGGTGTAAACCTCAAGCTAAATGCTACGATCATCCCGTTCCAGATCAGTTCGCCTCCGTAAGTTTTATTTACAGCTAATTTACACGCAGTGTAATAATATAGTGATTATTAATTCATAATAAGTATTGAATACGTCCTAAGGAGTTTTTCAACCCCACTGAAAACTGTTTCCACTGTGATTCCATATTTTGCATAGGAACTGTAATTGGAGGGCTCTCAGAGGAAAGTGGCTGACAATATTCAACGCGTTGTTAAACCACTGAAGTACACACAGATTATGATTCATGAACTAAAATTGAAACAAAATTGTTCTGATATAATTTGAGAGAGGCTATTCTGGGAATTCTCTCTATGGTAGGACAGCCAGCCAACGTCAATTTCAGTGGACTGGTTACTAATTGAGGTGAATGCAGAAGGTGGTTTTGATTCATCGTCTGCTCACCAGTGTTTCCCTCTGATATGGGAACGCCGAATTCAGTGTGCACGCTAAAAGTGCTCAGCATACATATTTTGTTTACAGTGGACTGCCGAAGCTTCACTTTGAGTAAGCAGCATCTGCTGTATCATGCGCTTTGTCTGTATATTCGTATCACTGTCGTGCCCGAGGTGAAATGCATTTTTGTTTCATCATGCACAATTATGATTTAGCCTACAGATTCCTGTAATGGGATTACATATTTTGATGTGAAGAATAGTCAGACAGTTTGGCTGCTTTTATCAAACGCTTATTGAGGATTACACATGAATCTCCTCAGAAATAAAGAGAATATCCTCTACTTTTCTGCCTTCAACTAGTTACTTGCTTCTAAAATGGATAATACTTGCCACTGTTGTAGTCGAAATTACACCCTTTCCTCACTAGAATAAATAAATCACTTTCAAATCATAAATTAGAATGGTAAGCTTGTAAAAGACATTGGTCTTTTGAAATCTATATCTCTATATTATCACGAACCAACATCCGTTGGAAAATATTGAAAACTAAAGACTGGTGGGCAGCTGTTTCGTTATAGTTTGGATTTCTTTGGTGATGCACGCTCCTGATTTCAACAGGAATCGGATCCAGCAGTTTCAGGTTACGAGAGTGGGCCGGTTCACCATTCAGTCATTTGGCCTGAAATTGAGTGACTTGTGAATTCTGAATCCACCAATTCATGATATAGTGGAATCGTCAGCCAATGATCATGGCTTCTGAGTACAGCTTCCAGATATCCATAGAGTAGTTAGTAGTTAGTAAGTAGAAGACTGATGCTGAGACAATATGTTTCTGTAAGGATTTATATTAATGCACCAATGGCCCCTGCTTCGCAATAATCTCACTATCATCTGATATTCCTTCATGAGGAAATTTGCACTAAAACGAATCCAAAATCCAACAAGATGTCATAATTTTAATTATAATTCTACCGCATTGCTAAAACAGTAATACCTGCAGCACGCGAATGAAGTAGCTTGTGGAAGGGTGATTAAATTGAATTACTAAATCAAGTCACTTCTAGATCTTCTCGTATGCAGATAATTCTACTTCATTGTAAGATTGTCTAGCTTTTCACAGTTCCGTATGGGACATATGTCTTCAAGTTTTAGGTTTAAAGTTTCAGTGGATCTGGTGTTTCTCATAGGATGGGGCTGCTTGCCTGACGAATAGTCTTTCTAACTTACCGGTGAGCTGAGAAGGAGTGTGTCACTGCGGAGTCCTACCCAGGACAGATGAGTGACTGGCGAGAGTCCTATGATCGAACCACTCACGTATTCACTGTCAGATTCTGTTAGTATTCATGAGTAGTCTTCTCTAGCTCTTTAAAATTTCATCAGATAATATTTCATGTGTACACAGACATGGATAGTTTCACTTTCAAAAGATGGGTAACTATGCCAAAAACTACTTTCAAAATGGATTCAGTAAGAGAATTGAGGTCGTTTAGCTGGACTCAATGTTAAAGTGTCACACTGAGTCTCAGTTGATGGTAAATCCGCAAGATAATCATGCCTGATGATAGTCAGTCGAATGTCATCTTACCAAATATCTATGACGAACAAATACACCTGAATAACATTTCTCTTCTTATTTGAAGCTCTTTGTAATGTAATTCTGACAATAGTCATTTATTTTCGTATATACCAATCATTTCAGGGATTCGATAGTAACAATGATGTAGTCATACAGTCCTCTGAACTGATTCAGAGAACACAGGCAGATTGAAAGCAACTACCTGAGCTATGCATCTTCCCCATTATTTCAAAGACTACTTCCACGCTGAATATGATCATCTCTCACACTGATCATTAGTTATTCACATTAATTGTTCATTTACTTATCTTCTTTTTGTCATACAACAAGGATGTTCTCAGTCATCCGATGGTAAAAATTTCAAGGAAGTGTATCAAGACGGTCCAGGGTTTGCACCGAATGAATATGTGATATTTGTCGATAGTGAAAATAAAGGCGCTTGTGCTAGTGGATCAACACTGGCGTTTGCTGGTCCATGTGAAATGCATCCAACAACTGACAGGTTAGAATGTTCATGTTTATTTATCTATATGTATATTGATTGATATTCATAAGAAACTCGAAACCAAAGAAACAGAGAGACGGTACAGCTTAGTTGAATCTCTCACACCCCTTCCTCAAAAACAGGATGAAATCAGGAGTGATAGTGAAAATAAAAACCGATAACTTCGCAAGCTCATTGTAGGAATAAACTAAAGTTTTGTGCTAAATAATAAGAGATTCCTCTCTGGCTATCTTATTAACTTGGTGGTAAGCAGTAGGCTTAACATCGTTCGCCTAGACTTCTCACCTGTCGAGAATTTACGTCTACAAAACTGGGATATTTTAGAACACAGTGAAGCAGAATTAATTACTGAGAAGCTTTCTGGACACTGTTTATTCTCATTATCATATCTAGTGTAATTTTACAGTTGATAAACTTGATTTTCGTAGTGGTGATTCTTTCCCTGGATATATTGTAGGAGTGATGGAGTTTTACAGATGCCTAAGGTAGTCACAGAATCATTCTAATCAAAGTAGATTCGAAGCGAATAAAACTGTTTTACCAGTCTCCTGCTACATTGCTCTGTTCCATTTTGGAATGGTCGTAGTCATTAAAATAGTGTGTGTGTGTGTGACTGCATGTTTTGCTATAGCCAAGCTGTTTGGTTGTTCATGATCCTCCTATAAAACTGAAACATCATGAATTGAACTTATCATTGAGAATCACACAACTCAACGAGAACTCTTTCAAACTAATGAAGAGAACAGTTATTCGAGTGAAAACTCTCTGTTAATTTACATCTACATACAAATTCTTTTTCACGAAAGAGGTTGGGAAAAAAGTCTAGAGTTGTCATAATCTCTGTCGTTAATGTTAGTCACTTTATGATGGTAGTGGAATATTTGTGTTGGAACTACCTGCTATGATATATAATATGGCGGATGAGTTGTTATCATGATGCAGACAGAAACGAAGTGTTCGAGGGAAATACAGGAGTTACTGATGAAAAACAGATTGATGGAAAACAGCAGATTGTTACCATTATGGTAGAGTTGCGTGGAAAATATTCCTTCAGTGTATAGCTTTGGGTCCTCTTTCTGATTGAGTAGAACTTGAATGTCTCAGATAAGACGGAGCTTATTGTTTTGATAGGTTGTCCTTCACTCTGTATATCACTTTGACGGAGGTGTTTGTTGAGTCAGAATGACCAGTGTTGACCAGGAGTTCGTTTGCCGCATTCAACTAATTTATTACAAGGCTGGATGATATATATTATTTTTTTATTTTATTTTTTTATTACAGCCTGATTCCACACTGTATTTTTGGTACAAGTATGGAATTTTCAGCATGGACATCGGTAGCCCGAATTTTGCAGGCCGACCATAGATATCAGGTGTGCGTCGGCAGGGAATCGAACCTCGGACCATGTACATGGTCGGTAAGAGTGCTAACCACTGTGCCACCGACGCACATGTAGACATATACATATAGACAGAGAGAGCGAAAATTTGAAAAGCAGAGAGCAGAGGATTTTTGATTGATTTGACTTTGCTTGTTGTTAATATCCCCTTCTTTTCGGAATGCTTTAGACCAATTATGGGATCAATCAACTTCTGTCCACAGAAAATGGAAGTCGATGAACCAGGAAAGACGATGTTGGTTGGTACGGCTATTCATGAGTTAGCGCATGCTTTGGTAAGTGACTAGAATCTCCTAACCAGTTGTCAGAAATGATATTTTGCATACTTCTTAAAAGGGCAGAAAAGGTAAATCTCATATCGAGTGAATTTAATTTCTTTTGAGGTTTAATTCATGTGGTTCGAAACGAAAGCCCGATGACTTGTTTTGTGCTACCTGATACTTATCAGCTGGTTGTATCTTAGTTTTAGAAAATGTCTAGTGTCCTCATTTGGCTTCAAACCAAGAATGTGTCACTACACTCTCTGGGAAGTCAAGAAGTATTCTAATGACTTCAGAAGGTTATTCTTCTACAACATGAACGATTTCATGTAGCGTGAATATGGTCACAATCTCACATCAGCATTTCTGATTGAGAGCATGTCCTGTCGTCAGTTGATGATGGAGTCCACATCGATGACTCCTTTACCATTAAACTTTGAGTAAACATTTATTTGAAGACATTAGGGTATTTGTCCGAATAGTCTGTATGGGAAATAAATCCAATGAATAAGTGAAAATGCAAGTGTAAGTGGGTCAAAAAACACTTTTTGACTGGTCATAATGCAGTGAAGTTATTAGTTGGTTTAGCATGCAGAGCATTAGTAAATCAGCTGTTGAAAGAGTTTGTCTTGTATTGGATTGAAACACAGGCAATTCAGTCACCGTATTCATCTTGTTCCCCTCAGTTTCTCCTTAAAACTAATGTACAGAAAACCCTAATTACATGGCGTTGCGTTCAGCGAATAATTTATTGATTCTTAATATGCACAAATCTTATGAATACATTTGTTTTCATTACTTCGTACATCGGTGATTTGATGTTAGAATGCGCAGCAACCACATATGTGGCTCGGAGTTTGAATCCAGTCGGACGCATTCGTTTCACCTCGCTAATCCAGTAGTGAGACTGTTAAAGAGGGAATGTTGGTTATGAGGCTAGCAATCATACCCTGTAAACACGATAACCATTACTACCGAAACTTCGTAGCTCTAGGTCAAGTCTGTGTGTTTCACTAGGAAGGTAAAACAGTGAAATGATGGTTTGCTGGCAAAAACTTACAAGTCAGAAGATGGCACTAGACAGAGATTCCTGAGTAACATCTTATATCGAACTGCAATATCCTCCACACTACTGCATAGTAGTGAGCTCATTAACTACATTGGTTAAACATACGATGGTTCTCTATTAGCTACTGCTACTTGACAGATGTATATTTCGTCCAACAATCCTTAGTAATAATATTTTTATGATGGTATAAAAGTAAGGAACGACAATATATATACATATATATATATATATATATATACAAATGAAAGTAGAACATTATGTTTCTTCATGTTTATTTGAGAAATGAAATATGCTCTAAACATCATCAGAAAGTAATACTATGATATAATTATACCGTTTGTGAGAAAATCTTATTCAGCATCCATTTTCGCCTCACCATAGTGATTAGTGATTCCATTATCATACTAATAATTTTATTTCTGCCTTCATTTTCCAAATCAATCTGTAGGGATTTGTTAAAACTAGCTATGCTTTAATGCGTGACGAAAATGGTAATCCCCGAACACCGAGAGATCCGAAAACAGGCAAGCCGCCGAGGAATGATCGCGGACAATTTGTACCGAGGTAGGGCAGCTTTCCTTCCCTGTAAACTTCTATTGTCCAGATAAATTTCAAAGTAAAATTTTAGGCGTTTTGTCAAGGTTGATGATGAAAAGATGAGAAACTGGATGTAATACATCCTTGAAATTGTAATCCGTGGTGGCCGAATGCCAGTAAACTAGAAATTAACACGGAGAGGTGAGAATTCGACAGTTTGTATTCACCATAATAAATAGAAATAATAATGAAAATTTAAACAATGCGGCGATGGAAATAGTCAGTCACCACAACTGATTTTAAAAGGCAAACGCCTTACTTACTTAAAATGCTAACCTATTCATGAGTGTGTTAGTGAAGTACTCAAATCCCTAAGGATGAATAAAAGAATCTAATTTGGTAATAAATTCAACACGAATGATGTCATGATGAACTGTGTGTAAACAGCGGATACTTCAAACTATTAGTGTTTTCATGAATGCATTCACTTTAAAGACAACAATCCAATGTGTTCAACAAATAACACTCTGTTGGGATGTATTGGTGACGATAACTGCTACCCCTGTTTCAAGCTATAGATTTGTTGACGTCATGGAATTTTCCGTTATGGAGGTGGGCGGTCAAAATGAGACATGAATTTTACTCACCTAACTCAATTTTTATTTCTTAATAACCAATGATGATTATTATAGCCGTAGGTTCAGAGTGGTACATAGATCTTCAACAGCACACCTCCACTTCAGCCTGTTCTTTGCAATCCTCCTACATAGTTTGCTTCACAACTACCCAAAGACTTTCAGCTGCTTTTTTATACGATCTCTTTCATGTCAACTCTGGATGCCCGTTTCATTATTTCCTCTTCAGATTCTACTCAAGGGACTGTTGCGCGATGTCCGCGTTTGTTCAATGCATCTTCCTTTTCTTCGGTATATCTGTTGGGCAACAGGTCCTTGGTTTGTTCGTTTCTCGAGTTCCCTGTTGCTTATTCTTTCGGTTAGCAACATCTACTCTTCAGTGGAGAGTCAATGAAGGTGGCTGTTGATGAAAGTATTTAGCAGATTCCTTATGTCTATGTAAAACCTCTGAATCATATAGAAGCCGTGAATGACTGGACATTAGCGATGGAAATCCCAATCGCTTACTTTATGCTGATTGCATCTTGATTCCGCACTGACTTCAGAATAATGAAAGCTTGTCTTGCATCTCCGACCTCAAGTGGTATTGATAAGTTCGTCCATGCTGTCGTCTGATGTTGCCTGAATGAGTGGGAATGGCGACCACCTCCTAATTTCTCCTGCTGATAATGATTTGTGCTCGCTGTTTTGGATTGGTTACCTTTATCACCTCTGTTTTTCAATGTTCTCTTGAAATCCTGTCTTTGCTGCCTGTTACTTGTGACAACATGTTGATCTTGTTTATCATGTACATCTTCCAATTTCTACGTCATTAAACATCAATCACTCGCGAAGTGCAAATATCTTAGAGTTTTCTTGTCGACGCGATTTAAACGAGTCTTCTCGATCCCTGAGTGATCCAGTCCACCCTATTCAGAAGTTTCATTGATATTCGAATATCACTAATATAAAAATCAGTTGATTTCTGTCCCTGTAAGCTGCGAAGCAGTTACATCTCAGTTGTTGAATGGTGAATGAGTCCTCATTGTAGTTGAATGTCGTGAGATATATCCCCTATGTGCTCATGCGTATATTCTGCCGAAATGTAACAAACGTGGACGACCACTTCTTGCTACAAGAAAAAGGACAAATAATTTTGTAGTTCTAGTTGGCGCACATTGTCTTTCATCTTTATGAAAATAGAAATTTCTGCTTTGTGTTTTGTTATTTTATCTTCTAGTGAGAGTACTGTTAAACTCATCAATCGTCCATGGATTTCAGCTGTGGGATCGTTCAGCAAACAATTTTTAGCCTTTGTCACTCCACAACTATTGGTATGTCTACTTACAGAAATGTTATGACTTTTTCTGAAATATCACGTTAGATAAACAGGAATAACCTATTAGGCTTGTGGGTGGTGAACTGGCACTAGACTTCAGTATTATACCCAGTTTAAACATATTCAGGATGTTACTAACAAAATGAAAATTACTGAAACACTGAGAACTATGAACTGTTATTTTCAGAACTATAATTTCGAGCACTCTGATTACGGTGAATTCAGTAGGTGATCACGAAATCGGTCGAGGAACCATAGAATTCCATTTAGTATTGTACAACCGATTCCTGCTGTGTAAGCTCTTTCTGCTAGTGAGCAGCCAGTCGATCGAACCCAAGATATTTGAGTTTGCCTGCTAACCATTTAGTTACTGGGATGGAAACCAGTTGTCGATGAATGCTAACTTTCGCCAAGTCCTAGTATGGCGACATCTCCAGCCAATTTGATCGACCATCATCTCCCACCAATTTGACTTGTTGAACCTCTTGTGGTCATGGCTCATCACTAAAATTTCACTTAACTTCACTTTGCGATCAATCGCAAGTGATGATTAGATAAGTTTTCCAGTGTTTTCATTTCTGAGGATTTCATCGGTTGCACAGCTTGATCATGAGCTAGAAACTTCTATCTTGTCGAATGAAGCAGCTATAGACTAGCTTGGTCTTTAGAAAGCTGTGAGCCCAGGCTAGACTAATGAGTACAGAAAAACAGTTGGATCCGCATATACAGTAAATCTGTTCTTGTAAGATAATTCGGTCTGTACTGGTATTGTATGATATAGACCAAATTTATAACTGCTGGAATAAACATGACTGAGTAGTGCCCTAATATGCACCTGTTGGTGGTTATGAACTGTGATTACAAACCTAGTATAAAGTATGTTGCGTAACATCACATTTCCTTAACTCCCATTTGTACGGTTTACGGAAGTCAAACAGAAATTCTCTAATCTTATTCAGATCCAATACTAGGTTCAGTACATATAAAATCCTCTTCCGAAATGTTACCCACATATCGATTCATTTCTGTATTTTGAAAAATATAATTTCACAAATCTACAAACGTTGATTTCTCTTCAAAGTTGAAAGGCATTATTTTACTTCATTTGACAAGGCTGAAGGACGTAAACACTATAACTGTCCTAATCTGGATGGGATTGATATAGAGAATGAAGGTGGTGAAGGAACTGTTGGAACACATTTTGAGAAACGGGTAGTTGGAGTAAGTCAATAACCTGAAATTTTTTTTATTATTTTGAAGATGTGTTTATTATTGTTGTTACACAGTATTCAGCAATACGTCGTGTGATTCTATGTTCTTCCATCTGAAGTAATATCCAATGGTAAACGATATTTTCCCCACATTTCCTTTGATTAGTGCTCTGCATTATGATTAGCAACAAAGTAAAAATATGCACGGTTTCATGTGACAATCCAGAAATATTAGTAGATGATTGAAATGATAAGGAATTGAGAAGAGTTTGTGCATTATGTTGGATAGAAATTTAGGTAGCCCGATGATTTCAACACTCCACCTCTGGCGTAAAATCAACCAGAACTGAAATCGAATTTTCGATTAGAGCAAGACGACAACATGTCAAGATTCTTGCTCATTTTGTCAATTCGCAGTGCTGTTTAATACAATTTCCTCTGAAATTTAAGCAGTATGTTTCATTTATTTCTATTGACGTCGATTGTTTGTGTCTGACTGGCTGACCGAAAACGGTCTGTTTATCTACTATATGCCGACTGTGTCCAAACTATTTCAAAAAAATCGCTGCAATTCGGTTGAAAACATTTATAATTGAGTTATTTTAATGAAGTATTGTTAACGCAATAATTATTCTAAATGCCTCAACACTTTTTATTATAGGATGAAATTATGGCAGGTGTAACTGGCGTGAAGACAGTGGCATCACGATTGACACTTGCATTCTTCAAGGATTCTGGGTGAGTTAAAAGATGAAAAGCTTTTGAATTCTTACGAAATATTTAATATTTTCATTTTGCTTCATATAGTTGTGAGTGTAAAATTGTTCTAGCTCACTGAGTATGCTACACAGTTAGCAGAATGCTGTCACAGAGGGAAAATTATTTCTAACCTCTATAGGGATGAGTATTAAAATGACATCTTTTACTCATTTCATTTGGTCGATAATGGCTGGCAGTTTTATTAAGGTCGGAAGACTTGACCAATTTTGGACTGACCATATAAATGTGCCTGCATTCTAAGTGGGTGATGCTTTTCGCAGTGATACTCGAATCCAGGACTTATCGTCTCGAATGTCTGAATATTATCCTTTAGGGCATCCTTATGCATTAGGCAATAGTTGTTATCTCTTGTAATTATTATTTTGAATTTCGTGATGACTGACCTTATTCAACTTTTGTTGAAATGTTGGCTCCTAATCCGAACTCTTTGACAATAACTTATTGCTGCCATGATGGTATTTTATGTTTGAAAAGATAAATTCTAGGTTCAAGTTTCAAAAAGAGCGCCATGGATTAATAAGCATGAAGACGAAACCAACTGATGAGTCCTGAGTAGCAGTTAATAAGTGTCGTGAATTATACTTCTGGCTCGCATCGACTATATTAGATCATGTTAAATTGGAACCGTAATCGAAGCGTCAGTAGTGGAAGATTTCGTTTCAAAAAACTGATCCGCAGGAAATTCAGTACAAGAATCTCAATGAATTATATCCAACTTCTTCATGTTTAAATGAGTAGTTAAACCATGATTCAATAAACATGAGAAAGAAGTTGATTTGTCGCCAAGTAAACTCAGTATTATTTTTTTTTAATTTTTGATTTACAGCTTGATTCCACACCGTATCTTTGGCACAGGTATGGAATTTCAGCATGTGATATCGGTAGCCCAAATTTCTCAGGCCGACCATAGATATCAGGTGTGCGTCGGCAGGGGATCGAACCTCGGAGCATGTGCATGGTCGGCGAGGCTCCTAACCACTGTGCAACCGACGCAGTGGCCCAGTCGTAGAGATATAGTCTAAACATTCAACCATAATAGACGTGTTGAATAGTTATTTACTGATAGATGAAACAATATGGTAATGGATTAATACCAGCTAGAGAACCACTGAAACCCAGGAGGCAGTACTCGACAGCTTTTTCGTCCTAGTTTGTGACTCTTCGTCACTACGTGCCAATGACTGCAATGAGAATCGAATCCAGGATCTTCAGGCTAAGAAACTAAACTTGTCGATCACATAGCAACTTGGTTCAGAATTCAGTGGTGCTAATCACTAGCCAATATCATCGACGCGTATTTGTCGGCAGACCCGATCTGCCGAACTTCACTGGTCACAAATTGTCAGTAGAGTTTCATGTGGTAGTTTAACGTAAAATGAACATTCTTTAAACCTATCCAACTCTACTTGACGTTATTACACTGGGCGCTATTTGTAAGTGGGCAAGACGTACTTCAATAGGTGTGTTTATTTATTAAGTATAAAGCTATGATGAGAATAATAAACAGTTACATAAAACGTATTCGTTTAAAGTCAGAAATTGTTATAATAATGATACATAATGTAATACTCGAATTGATTTTCTCTTTCCACACGTATGAATTCTCTTATTGGATGCTTATAGCTGTATTTGTTTGTTCCAATAATAGATGGTGGGACGTCGATTACTCACTCGCTGAAAAATGGGACTACGGCAAAGGACTTGGCTGTAGCTTTGTAATGGAAAGCTGCTATGCGTATATCAATAGAATGAAGCAACAGTAAGTCATCCAATGCATGATCAGTGTCATAGTGAATTTTCGGAGATTACACTATTTTTACTTCAATGGAAGTACGCTTGCTTTGATTACATAGTCTTATATTTAGTCATTGGAAGATGAATTCAAATTGATATTGACATTTTGTGATATTTTAGAGGGAAGAGTATTGAACCGTATTGTGAAGAGAAGAGTGATGTGATGTGTTATCACAAGGCCGCCTTTGGAATATGTGCTGTTGCACAGTTTACTACAAGTTTGCCTGCACCTGATCAATACTTCAAAGGTATTCCTAATCAAGGAGGGAGTAGTACATTGGTGGACAAATGTCCAATGGTTCAGGTGAGTGTTCCCAATGTTTAACCTTCAAATCTTATATCACGTATTCTTCACACTGCATGTTTAAAATAGAAATTATACTGGTCAATAATATTTAGTAGCATATGTCGACGTTTATCAACCTTAATCATTACAGAAGTAATTTGTTTTCTAGATGAAAATGGAAATTCTCTAAGTAGTTTATGTTAGTTGTATTTCCACAGAATAATTCTCTTTGAACCACTGGACATCTTCCAAATTGATATATGAATAAAACGTGGTCGTATAATTCACCTGTTAATTTGTTTGCTTTCATACAAAGGAAGGGACCTCTGAAACCTTACACGTAATTCCTAATAAAGCACAAATTCGCCTTCTTGGTGTATAGCCAACAAGATTAGCTGACCGAACCTTAAGAAGTTCAGACTGTAGAAGACTAATTTGGAAAGATCAACTAATAAGTTTCTATAGTTGAGTACCTACTGAGCGGAAAATAAATCTGACTAAATACCTTCCAACTTGGATTTGACTCATGTGCAGTTCTAGCGCCCTGGAAGCAGAACTGGATCTTTTGAAAGAGACCAAAATGGATACCCACCAAGATTTATTGACAAGATTATCAAACGAAAGGTTCAGAGCAACGAAACATCACTTGTTTCAAAAAAGATACTTTACAAGAATCTGGATTTCAAGGGAGACTTAGCCTGCAATATCCTCAAGAGAATAATTTCATCATCATGTGCGTCGGTAGCACAGTGGTTAGGACTCTTGCCGACCATGCACATGGTCCGAGGTTCGATTCCCTGTCAATATACACCTGATGTCTATGGTTGGACTGCGAAATTTGGGCTACGGATATCACCTTCTGAAAATTCCATACTTGTACTAAAAATACGGTGTGGGATCAAGCTGTAATCAAAAAAAAAATTAAAATCTTGGAAAAGAACATTCTTCGCGGCAACGCTAAGAGTAGTGGTCTCCAGTCGCCCATTGATCTGCAGAAGCCTTAAGAACAAGACGTCACATCTGGCCACTTCTGCGTGCATATATCAGTTCACCTAATGCTGTGGAGCCAGGTACATTGGTCGTTTGTCTCTTATCCTGTCCAAAAGGCTTCAGAAACACTATCCTGTATGGCTACGAAGCGGTAATAGTGGCTGTATAAGCAGTACAATAATCAAACATCTCATCAACACTGGTTATTCCATTTCAACAAACGCCTCCTTCAAAGTGATCTACAAAGTGAAGAACATCTACTTACCAAAGTCAGTACGCTGTTGTCGCCTTTGTACTGCTGAAGCCTTGGCCATTCATTTGGAAAAACCAGAGTTATGCATACAAAAGAAGACAACTCAACCACTTCTACTATCTTGGTAACCGTGAGACTCTTCATTGAACTATGTGTTTTGTTTTCAGAATTAAAAGTGGCATTAAAAGCTACAAACTCATTTAGAAATGAGTTATGTTGGTTAAAGGATCCTATGGAGCTCACTAAACAAAATAATCTAGTATATCCAGTCCCCTGAGATGATAAGCAGGTCAGATAAATAGGACCAGATAGCAGGACGTGGTCACTTAGTTCAGTGGAGTGCAAAAATCTAGAGAAATCTAGTTAAGTTCACCCTAACAAGATAATAAACCTAGCAAATAGCTCAACCGTGGCATTACAATCAGTTGCATACAACCATACATTATGATGGAGAAAGTGACAGTATGACAGTCTTGTGTTGAGCAACCGAGTGATAAATGAATCTTTATTCATAAAAATTAACTGGTAATATGTACAATACGCATGATTCAGCATTTACCCCCAATGCCTGAGTAATTCAGCCACCTTTCAGACGATTGGGAGGGAAGAAATAAAACCACAAATATCAAGTCCCAAAGTTGTTCAGTTACAGTTGATGTGATTACGAACAATTAAATGTGTTCGAAACTTTGTCATCCACAAATTAATAATGTCTCACGAAAATAGTAGAATAATCGCTTGATAGACTGATTGAATAAACACATTTCGGACTTTCTTTGGTTTGAAGCAGACAGGTAGCCTTTTGAGAAATATTATAAGAAGAGTTATGCGCTTTAAATATTCATATTTCAATACCTTTTCCTTCCTTTATTGACTCACTTTATGGACGAATAGCCGATGAAAACATTCTTTCAAGAGCCTCTGATGACATACTGTAACCATGATTTAAACAGACAACATGGTAAGCCTTTTCAAATCTGTATTACTCAAAGTTAATTACATTATTATTACCATTATTATTGCGAGTGAAACATAAGGATTCAAAGGAACACCTCTATTTCATCCTGTTTTATTCGGCTGTCTTTAGTGGGCTCCACGATTGTCCTTAAACTCTCACCCCCTCCTCCTCAACACGGTCTCCCACGTATTACGTCAGATGCTCGACGGATGCCCATTCGCTTTTACTCAGGTGTCTGACAGGTAATGCCATTCAGCGGTCTTCTCAGTATGGGTGCGATCCAACTCCACCTCCCTCAGCACATTTGTTGAGCAACAGTTTCTTGGTTTGTTAGTTCCCAGAGTTTCTTGTTGCCTGTCTCCTCCGGCCAATAGGTCTGATCTTCCGTAGACATGCTTGAAATATATTTGACATCAGAAGAATGTGAATGTTTATGAGAGATACCAGTTGACACTGTTTTAAAATGTGATATTTAAGTGTGTTACCTGTCAACTAACTCTTCAACTAATGGTTACCGAATCCATTTCCATTAGACGAAGAATATGTACATATATGTAAAGAGAATCTATTGATTACCGAATCTTTGTTACAGTTGTCTTAGGAAATATCAAAACTGGTGATTAGACTTTCATTCCATGTGACTGTAAGGCGTTAACTTCTTAGTCAGGATTCTATGCCTTATTAAAAATAAATGTTTTCTTAAGATTAGATTATTGCTTCTTGTACCGTTCATTCAAAATCGTAGGGTAAATACTTTCATGTTAAATGGTGGATACTGTGTCTAACCACTTAAGACTCCAGAGGAAGCTTCATAAGATAAAAGTGAATTGCATTTAGAATTTTATTAACTTATAAATACAGAAATTAATATCATTAATCAGAGTTTATTTATAATAAATTCACTAACATTGTGCTTTCTTTGCAGCTCAAAAAGGAAACATGTTCGGTCAAGATTTCGGCAATAATTCAGTATGCATTAGACATAAAGGAGCTTGGGAAGCCAAAATGAATGGGATGGTTTCAAGAGATGCTCGAGTCAAAGCAACTTGTCATCAGGTATGTTTTCAATAATCCAGCCGCATTATGGTGATATTTTGTAGTTAGACAGAAACCAGTGATATTCTCTTATCAGCTCAAAGACTCAAGAATCCTCCCAGTCTATTGTTATATCTTTGAAGTGCTAAAAGATCATTGTATTTAGCAGATAAATGGTGATCTGTTTAAACTACTGGGTTACTTAGTTCTCCACAGAACACAATGCCTCGAACGTCCTCAGTTATACTTTGTTCTGGCCATCCGTCTACGTACTTGAAGAAGAATCTGTACACTTAGAATGGCTTTCAACATACTACTTGGTTTGCACTGAAGTGACAAATATATCAGGGGTTGGAGCAAGCTGGAGCGAAAAACAAAATTCCTTGTACCGAACGGTATTATGTAGATGAGTGTTTCACTTGAAGATTCTATTAAGGAGTCGATTACACCAAGTTGAAAACTCTGTACTGTATGTGAGCATATTGTTCATAACTAAGTTACTATTATCATTAAAATCTCTTATATGTGATCTACCTCACTGTGTGGAGCAGAAGTATTGTGGATATTTACTTTCTTGTGTTCCCCTTGGTGAGTATATATATGTAATACATCAGAAAAGGGAATAAATTTCTGTCAATTTTTGTCTAAAACATTTACAGATTTCTTGTTCTGGTGGTCTCAAAGTAGTTGTCGGTGGACAAGCGTTTCCCTGTCAATCAGGAGTAGCAAGAATTCAATCGAAGCAGATTACTGGGGAGGCTATCTGTCCCCCACCAAATGAAGTTTGTGGAGTAAGAAACATTTACATGGAAGATAATTGTTTTTATATTACGTCTAGTTCTCTTTTTGTCATGGGAAGGACTCAAACTCAGGCTTCAATGAGAGGAAATATTTCTCGTTGACTGTGGACAGCTACGAGTAGATTTACCAAGCAGTGGTCTTGACAGATTGTATGTCTGCGTGTGTATTTTAAAGTTGGTTGGAGTATAAAATTTAGAAGCCAAACATTTAGAGACATTACTTAAAGTCATTTTATATTTCTGATTCTGACACAATAAAATTGGCCTGACGGCTGTGTAACTATCATTACTGTAACAGTAGGGGACTAGGCGCTTGGTGAAGGAATGTTTATATGGAATTCAGTATGGTTAAGTGGCAGAAATATGTACCCTTTATCTGAAAACCGTCATTTCTTGCACAGATCTTCCATATTGTGCTACTTCTGGCCTTCGCATTGTGTTTCTTTCTCTTCTTTTTGTGTCTCAGCTGTTTTGCCACAACGCTGATCGCTTGTACTCTTTCACGTCAAATCCATCTCTCCGTTATTTGATATTCTTATGCAGATATACGTCTCCTTATAAACCAGTGATAAATATTATCGGTAACACACGTCATACTATTACTACTTTAATTAGGTTAAATATATGTACATTTAGAATATAGCTATATCCCGACAAAATTTATTCGGCACATCTATCGAGTTACATGACAGGAATGCAGAATTTAAAACTGCGATTAGGACTTTTTTAAATTTTTATAAATTTATACGCCTATAAAATCCAACAATCATCACATGGGTTTGCTATCTTTACCAACTGGCCAACTCGACAAAGTAATCCTTACCCCATTCTGATGAACGAAGATGAAGCGGCTATATATAAACTGAGATTTTGTAAATTCTGGTTAAATATTACTATTCTGATAAAGCTCTTAGCAGCATTGGATAGCGAAGCGTCAGTAAAAGCAACAATATCGTTTCGCTTTTCATTCATTGGAAAATACTAAAACCTTTATTATAATGAATATCATCTGCCCAATGCCTAAATTTTTCAAACTGTTAAAAGCGAACCTGGTTTGGGCATATGCATTTGTATATGGATGTATCTTTAATTGGAATACAATTTACCACATTGGAAGTTGGATATAAACATTTCGGAAACTTCCAGGAATACTTTAAATTAAAAAAAGGAATACATAAAATCAAAGTAACATTTGGTCAGGACACGAGGATGTTTTACTCCCGAATCATATACGCAGTTATGTAAAGTCAGACGGGATGAATTTATATAAACAGAAATAATCTGGGAGCGTATTCTAAAAGTGTGATTGCTTGCTTGAGTACTTACCTTCATTGAAATATTTCCACTAAGACAGTAGAGGTGTGCGCCCAAAGTTCACTGTTGTTACATCTGTGGTATAATGACAATATCTGTCACCATAGTTTCAGTTGAATAATATATCTATGTCCATGAACCGAGATTTTATCATTTTCATAATGCTTTTTGTTTTCCAGAATAAGAGAAGATGAAAAGTACGTGTTGTATGATGGACAGTAACAATCCTGAATTTTTGTAATTAATTATGTACCCATTACTTTATTTAAACTGCTTGTTATATTAACTTAAAACCAGCTTTTCCTTGTAAATTTTATTTGTTCACATATTTAATATATACATATTTAACAAAATGTCTCTTCATGTTAATATCAATTATGATTTTAAACAAGACATTGACAGATTGATTTAGGCTACTTGAAGAGATGGCGATAAGCATTCTTAGAATTGTGTTGTGAAGTAGAAAACTTCAGTTATTAATTACTTCATCGAGTTTATTAAAACGCTAGAAGAATTTGTGTTGTTCTAGTTTAAACCTACTAGGATACCGACAACACAATAAGAAGACGTAGTTTATGTGAAAGGTGTAATGTATTGGCGCAACACATTCCCGACATTCCGATCACACACACGTACTTGTCATACACAGTTTTTATAGAAGGCAAGAAGGCGTTAATAATTACAAGACAGGTCAGATTGTGTACAGGTCAAGGTCACAAATGATGGGTAGGGAGACACAAAAGGTGTGGGTAAGAAAGATGAAGAGAGGAAAAACAAGGCAAAGAAGGGGTTTGAAAATATTATGAAGTAAATTGGACCTTGGTTCTAAATTGGATTACCAAGGCAGGTTTAAGGTGATAACAAATAACTTTTGGACGCATAAGACAGGTTTAAGTCTTTTAATGGCTAAGGCTTCAATGAATTTAAGTATGTGACCCAACCTTTTTCTTATATATCGGCTTAAAGGCATTGTTAAAATCAACCTTATGACCCGTCTCTATAATATGCTTCGCTATAGATGATGTTGGACATCTAAACTTATCTTCATAGAGAAAACGAGAACTATGCTATCCTGTAAACCCTCACATTATCCGAACGAGAGTGTCACATCCTACTATGTTTATCAATTTACATGTATGTGTGGAGACACGTACATAGGGAGGACCCATCGGTCTCTGCATGTTAGGGCTACAGAACACATTCCAAAGTGGCTGCAACAACAAATGAAATCGCCAGATACAATTGACCCCGGAAATAGATGTCCAACATCATCTATAGCGAAGCATATTATAGAGATGGGTCATAAGGTTGATTTTAACAATTCCTTTAAGCCGACATATAAGAAAAAGGTTGGGTCACATACTTAAATTCATTGAAGCCTCAGCCATTAAAAGACTTAAACCTGTCTTATGCGTCCAAAAGTTATTTGTTATCACCTTAAACCTGCCTTGGTAATCCAATTTAGAACCAAGGTCCAATTTACTTCATAATATTTTCAAAACCCCTCTTTGCCTTGTTTTTCCTCTCTTTATCTTTCTTACCCACACCTTTTATGTCTCCCTACCCACATTATTTGTGACCTTGACCTGTACACAATCTGACCTGTCTTGTAATTATTCATGCCTTCTTGCCTTCTATAAAAACTGTGTATGACAAGTACGTGTGTGTGATCAGAATGTCGGAAATGTGTTGCGCCAATACACTACACCTTTCACATAAACTACGTCTTCTTATTGTGTTGTCGAAATTCATAAAGGGAACTAACTACTAGGATACGTTTTAAACTGATGTTAATTTTGAGTAAAAGAGAAAATCCAAATCTTATTAGGTTGGATAATTCCTTTGTGTTACATTAAACCTCATAAAAATAGCGTTGATGTTCTGCACTAATAGTGAATATCCTCAAATGCTCATAGATTTTCCTGAGAGCTATAGGTTTACATGAATATCCTAGCCGTCTGTCTGTATGGAAGGGTTAATAATTGTCACTAGCGAGTTTTTCGATCTTAATTACATACATATAAACAAAACAATACTTGAATATTGAAGAAATGTAGTCAACAATTAGTTTTCAAAAGCAACCGTGTTATGATCTAAAGAAGTGATGAAAAATCAATTTAGAAAAGCTTGTACGACTATGATAGATATTCCACATAGTCCATCAAGGTACACTTTAAACCTTGGTGGCAAAGACTGTCATTCTAAGGTGATGAAAACAGCTCATTATGTAATCGCTTACTAACGTACTAACTTATCCGACTGCAAAATAAATAATAGTACATAAAGCATAAAAAATGCAACCTCCTTAAATCACTGAGCTATCACAGTTTATTTTATCCATCAAAATCCTTAAACTCTTTTGCACATCTTAGTGTTTTAATCGTGCAATTATATTAAATGATCAATACATGAACTCGTGCGTTTATCTAATTAGTTCCCCTGTGTATACAAAGCGATTTTCAAAAGAATTGAAGAAAAAATGTATATAACTGGGTGTCTCCCCATATACAGCAACACCATGACCAATAATATATTTCAGTATTTCGCTTTGCACTTCATTTCTGTATGATGAGGGAATATTTTGGAACTAAATACGAGGAAGATTTCTGTAATATATGTTCACATATTGCCTGACGTAAAGCTTTACTGTTACTATTACTATCAGGATGTTCGGTCCCGTTGTGTTGTCCCGAAATCCACCTCTTCAACTACCAGTGTTACAATATCATGCTATTCTTTATCAGAGAATTTTTCTTGATATTCTGGGGATGAATTTCCCATACATCACTGTTTTCGCCGAGTACACATTTGTTTTACTAATCCTGAGAAATGAAAACATTCAATGACTGCAAATTACGCGACATCATTTGTATTACATTGGGTCTTTTGGAATTTTTCGCCCGTTTACTTTATTCCTTAACATGCAGCTTTCAATCAAATACAAAGCGTTTTAGATTTCGTATTTTTACTTGTGGATGAGGAGAACATGATTTCTACCTAAGATCAAGAGTATCCAGACACTTTCTGAAAAACAATGCCATTTCCTAAATGGACTGAAATGAACTGTGGATAGAGAGAAGACAAGAATACGCTAGGCAGATAAGAATATTCTAGAAGACCTGGGCTTCACAACGATTTATATCTAATGTTTCGGAAATTCGAGCATCCGCAGGTGAAAAACAACAAGTTGAGTATAGCAGAAGCAAATATAGGACTTCAAGTCAACATAGAGAAGACAGAGGTGAGGGAATTTACCATCCAACAACAACTACAACCATTCACCATCAACTGAAGAAATTAAAAAGACGTCACTTCCTCCACTTACCTAGACAGTATCGTTTCAACTACAGAACGGCTGCATGGACGAGGATGTCGAAGCCAGACAGGCAAGGCAGATCATCATCATCACTCTGAAGTCATTTTGAAAATCTGTTGTACTCAGTACAAGGAAGAAATTTGTATTTTCAACGCTAATGTTAAATGAGTCAGCAGGGTACAGAGGGTGGGGTTTGTGAACAAATATTCTCCAGCGATGACACTCGTAAGTTGCCACGAAATTTAGTGAATTTGCAGAAGTTGGAATTCATAGGCTGGTCATTGGATCGGGTCTGCGAGCTCGCCTTGTATCCAGAAGGTCCTAGTTTCGAACTCTGGCGGTACGTACGTACTGATGAATAGTCCTAAACTAGAACGTAATTGATGTCCACTACTTCCTGGTGGTTTTCCAACGGTTATCTAACCAACGTCAGTTCATGATTATATCTTGAAACCAATCAAATCCCTGCAAG